AGTACTGCAGTGTTCATCCGAAGCCTTGAGAAGCTGAAGCGTAGATGATGGTGGCCGTTGTTTTTATGGTCCAGAAAGTCAACCCAAAGTCTTGGTCGCCCCAGCAACAAGTCCCAAGTTGACTTGGCAACCTGAAGGGTTGACTCATGACAATTAGGTGTTGTTGTTAGTTTGAGATATTTCACTGCTCAGAAACAAACAAACAAGTAAGTAAATTACCGTATTTTTTGGAGTATAGGACACACTCCCCCCCCTACATTCGGTGTGTCTTATACGCCGAATGTAGCTTTTTCAAAGCTTTTTTTTTTCAGCCCAAATGAGTCGCTAACGGGCTTCCCCTGCTTTTCTCGTTGCTTCTGACGATCAGCTGTGCTTTAGAAGCTGTTTTTTTATCCCCAACCAGGGACCCGTCTCAGGCAGGGAGAGGAGTGACTGGGAGGGGAGGGCGAGCGGCAGGGCCAGCCAGTGATGGGACAAGGAGCTGCAGCAGAGGCCCCAAAGAGCTGCATGTGGCTCCGGAGCCGCAGGCTGCCAATCCTGGTTCTAGAAGTAGGAAGTAGCAGGCAAATGATCGTCTTTACTTTCTTTTCCTTTTGTTTCCAGGTAGAAAAAATGTCCACCTTCCTTACGGTTGGCCTTCTCCTGCTCTTTGTGGTGGACTATGGTTCCTCTGAGAACTCCAGCACTCCACGAGGATGTGGACTGGATCTCCTCCCTCAATATGCTGCCCTGTGTGATCTGGATGCCATCTGGGGAATTGTGATTGAGGCTGTGGCCGGCGCGGGAGTCCTGACCACGCTGCTCCTCAAGTTGATCCTGCTGGTGAGGCTGCCTTTCATCAAAGGCAAGGAGAAGAGGAGCCCGTTGGGCCTCCATTTCATCTTCTTCTTTGGGACCTTGGCCCTGTTTGGCTTGGCCTTCGCCTACATCATCGAAGAAGACGAGACCATCTGCTCCATCCGCAGGTTCTCCTGGGGAGTCCTCTTCGCCGTCTGCTTCTCCTGCTTGCTCGCTCAAGCCTGGCGGCTCCGGAGGCTGGTCCGCCACGGCAAAAGCCCATCGGGATGGCAGCTGGCCGGGATCGCCGTCTGCGTTGCGCTGGTCCAGGTCATCATTGCCTCCGAGTGGCTGATACTGACGATTGTGAGGGAGGGGAAGCCGGCCTGCCGCTACGAGCCCATGGATTTTGCCATGGCTTCCATTTACGTGATGTTCTTGATGGTGGTCACCTTGTCTTTCTCCTTCTTCACGTTGTGTGGGAAATTTAAGAAGTGGAAGAAGAATGGGGCGTGCCTGGTCGTCACCAGCTTCTTCTCCATCCTCATCTGGGTGGCTTGGCTGACTATGTACCTGTACGGTAACAAGGAACTGGGGAGAAGAGATCAGTGGAAGGATCCCACCCTCGCAGTGGCTCTGGTAGCCAACGGCTGGGTCTTCCTGATCTTCTACGCCATCCCAGAGGTCCACTGTGCCATCCTGCCGTCTCAGCAAGAGAACACACCCAACTACTTCGACACCACGCAGCCACGGATGCGCGAAACGGCTTTTGAGGATGACCTCCAGCTTCCCCGGAGCTACATGGAGAATAAAGCTTTTTCGATGGATGAACATAATGCAGGTGAGCCTCTGTTTGTTTGGGATGGGGGCGGAAGATGCTTGTCGTAAGTCGTAATAATGTGGAAAGATCGACCGAATAAAAATCTGAGAATGGAATGCTTTAAAGTAGCAATGAATGTTGTGCAGCAGCTGCCAAAAGAGCCAACACAGTTCTAGGCTGCATCAACAGAGGCATAGAATCAAGATCACATGGAGGGTTAATATCACTTTTTTTTTTAGATAAGGTTTTATTTCTTTTAAAAAACACAAATATTTCATCGTTCGTCAATCATTAAAACATTGAAGTACAATTTTTTTTGTATGCCCCTCCCTCCCTCCCCCCCAACCCCCCTCCTCCTTTCCCCGCCCCCGACTTC